GAATCCACCACAGCCCGGTACTCCATCTCATCACCACCACTGATGCATCCAACCACCGCAGAATCATCAGAAAACTTCTGAAGATGGCAGGTTTCTGTGCAGTGGCTGAAGTCCGTGGTGTAGAGGGTGAATAGGAAGGGAGAGAGGACGGTCCCTTGTTTGTGTCCCGGTGTTGCTGACCACCACGCTAGACACACAGCGTTTAAGATGCACATATTGTGGTCTTTCTGTCAGGTAGTCTACAATCTAGGACACTAGAGAGGCATCGCTGTCAGCTTCTCACCAAGGAGAGTTGGCCTGATGGTATTGAATGCACAGGAAAAGTCAAAGAACGTGACCCTCACAGTGCTCGCCGGCTGGTCCAGGTGGGTGTAGAAACTATTGAGCAGGTAGATGATGCCGTCCTCAGCTCCAAGGCGGGGCTGGTAAGCAAACTGAAGGGGATGTAGATGTGGTCTGACCATAGGACGGAGCTGGTCGAGGATGAGTCTTTCCAGGGTCTTCATGACGTGGGAAGTCAGTGCCACAGGTCTGTAGTCTTGGGGGCCACTGGGACATGGACGGAGGAACAGGAACGAGGCATAATGTCTTCCACAGCACTGGGACCCTCTGCAGTCTCAGGCCCATCCTGAAAAGTTTGTGAAAGACTCCACAAAGCTGGGGGGCACAGGCCTTGAGGACACAGGGACTCACCCCGTCAGGTCCTGCAGACTTGCCTGAGTGGAGTCTTCTCATTTGTCTCTGAACCTGGTCATAAGTGAAAGTGACAGGTGAGAGAGGGTTGTCCGGTCCTTCTCCGGAGGTAATGGTGCTGGGAGGAGTGAGAGGGAGAGAGAGTGGTGTGGCTGTGGATTGCAGGCTGACTGCAGCTAAGTGAGTAGGGGGTTGGGCATTAACTGCAGAGTCAAATCTGTTGAAAAACAAATTCAACTCATTGGCTCTGTCCTCACCACCTTCAGCTTCACTGCTGATGGATGGTCTGAATCCAGTGATGGTCTTCATGCCTCTCCATATGTTCTTTGACTTTTCCTGTGCATTCAATACCTTCAGGCCAACTCTCCTTGGTGAGAAGCTGACACGTGTGGGGCCCTATTAGCCTCTAGATTTTAGCAGGTATGTCCGTAGGTCTGTCCAACAAGCCAGCCGGCCTCAGAGTGATCAGCTTGTCTCTGGGGTAAACAAAGGTTGCGGTGTGTAGCTGCAGCGCCGCAATCCCCTTCATCAATCAAAGTAACAGTTCAGCGGCGATAGGCAGGACTAAAACTCTTTTAACCCACGTTTGAGAAAACACTATTTAAGCAAACAAAGTAAATAAGATGAAAAAGTTTGGAAAAAAAAGTTTAAAGTTTAAAAGTTTGGGAAAAAAGGCAGGAGCAACTGAACAAGCTGCATGCCGGTTGACGCATGCACACTTAAAGGAACTTTGTAGCACTGCTCAGGAGGAACAATGTAGTTTTTACCTTGGCCGTGGAACAGTGGACCAGCTCTATACTCTCGGCAGGGTCCTGGAGGGCGCATGGGAGTTTGCTCAACCAGTCTACATGTGCTTTGTGGACTTGGAGAAGGCATTTGACTGTGTCCCTCGGGGAGTCCTGTGGGGAGTGCTCTGGGAGTATGGGGAGTCGGGCTTCCTTATAAGGGCTGTTCGGTCCCTGTACGATCAGTGTCAGAGCTTGGTCCGCATTTCCTCGGTCCCGTTTCCAGTGAGGGTTGGATTCCCCCAGGGCTGCCCTTTATCACCGATTCTGTTAACTTTTATGGATAGAAATTCTAGGCACAGCCATTTCGTTGAGGGTGTCCGGTTTGGTGACCTCAGGTTTAGGTCTCTGCTTTTTGCTGATGATATGGTTCTGTTGGCTTCATCGGACCGTGTCCTTCGGCTCTCACTGGAGCAGTTCGCAGCCGATTGTGACTGAAAGGACGAGGTCACAAATACAAGCAGCTGGGCTCTCCCTTAGAGATAGGGTGAGAAGCTCGGTCATTCGGGAGGGACTCAGAGTAGAGTCGCTGCTCCTCCACATCGAGAGAAGCCAGATGAGGTGGCTCGGGCATCTGGTCAGGATGCTTCCTGGACGCCTCCCTGGTGAGGTGTTCCAGGCATGTCCCACTGGGTGGAGGCCCTGGGGAAGACCCAGGACACACTGGAGAGACATTGTCTCTCGGCTGGCCTGCGAACGCCTCGGGATCCCCCCAGAGAAGCTGGATGAAGTGGCCGGGGAGAGGGAAGTCTGGGTTTCTCTGCTTAGACTGCTGCCACCGTGACCCGACACAAAAAAGTGGTAGGAGATGGATGGATGGAAGTATTAGAAATATTGCACAGATTTAACTTGGTAAGGTATTGCACAGGTTTGTGAAAGAGAGCATGCCCTTTCAGTATTCATTTATAATTGCAACAGCCCTAGGATATGTGCTGTTTTTCAGTCTGTTTCTTTTGGCTTTTTTTGACCTGTACTGCCTTCCTGAGGGTAACAGCTGGAACAGGTGATGTTCTGGGTAGGATGTGTCCTGCAGTGGTACAGTGGCAGCGGGACCTGTACAGCTCCTCCAAGGAGAGGAAAGTGCAGCCGATGATCTTCTGCGCTGAGTTGATGACCCTCTGGAGCGCTGCCTTTTCTTGAGCTGTGCAGCTGGCAAACTACATCGGGTTGCAGTATGTCAGCACACTTTACACAGAGCATCTCTAAAATGAGTTCAGCAGCTCCTTGGTTAGGGCGTTGTTTTTCAGGACCCTCAGGAAGTGGAATCTCTGCTGCGCCTTCTTCATCAGCGCAGTGGTATTGGTCTTTCAGGTTAGGTCCTCATTCAGGTGCAGGCCCAAAAACTTGAAGATAGAGACGCTCTCCGCACAGTCCCTATTGATGTATATGGACTGAGGGTCAGATCTGTTTCTTCTTTGTTTTTGTGATAAAGAAAGCACTGAAAGGAAGAGCTCTGAGCCGCTGCGTTTGTGCGCGCCACCATCTTGAGACGCAGTATCTCAAAACATTGCCTTTAGTGATAATTGAGAACTTTACCGGGAACACCCTGGTTTTTATAAACAGGATGGTCTTCATCTTAACTGGAGGGGATCATTTCTTTTATCCCAAAACATGGCAAGTAAATCACCTGCCTGACTTTACATGGTTGTGTTGTGATACATAAAACTACATTAGAGAGAAATACAAAACGGGACAAAGGAAGGAAAGAAATTAAATACAGATAGCCAGAAGACAATGGAGGAGACGAAACAAAAACTTCCAAGTAAGGAGAAAAAAAACCTCTGGGGGTCCAAGGCCAACTGGCTCCCCAACCCCCTTGGGCATACTAACATTACTGAAAACAGAAAAGAGTGGACTTGCTTGCTAAAAAGTAGGTATAAGCTGTGATTAAGAATCAAGACAAAGTCCATCAATGAGTCAATGGTTCCACAGGTGTGCTGCCTGCAATTTGAGGGTCTTCTCTCATTTTTCTCTGCAGAACCTCTCAAGTTCAAGGTTCAAGGTTACTTTATTGTCATCAGCAGCTTCATACAGTACTGTACGTGTAAAGAGTGACGAAACAACGTTTCTGCAACATATAGTACACTTAACATCACAGTAAGCAGGGCATGCAAGGTGCAAATAGGCAGTAAGAAAACAGTGCAGAGATAATAAATAAGTAGTGCAGAGATAATCCATTAGGGTGGATGGAGAGTAGCAATGTGCTGATATTTTGAGGTCTCTCCAGAGATGATTAATGTGGTTTTACATCTAAGGTCTGGCAGGACCACTCAAGGAAATTCACTAGTGACGTGCACAGACTTTTCAAGGGGAAGGTGTATCAACAGGGGGGAGTGAGTGACCAATACTTTTCACTGGTCAGGGTGTCCCCCTTGGGAGACTTTGAGTCAGTGACATGCACAGACTTTTTCAAGGGGGGGTGTGTGGCCAACTGATACATTTGACCATGATTGATCGTTGGGAGCAGCACTCGGTAACATTTCGTGATGTGGAGATTTTGCATAATCATCGGTTATCTTAACAGGCCACTCGGTTATCTTAAAGGGCACTTGGAATGTCAAACGGGGTTCCATTGAATCCTCCATCCTCTACATATACCTGCTTTGCATGATCATCAGTTTTCAAAAACTTTCAAAAAGGCTTAGAACATCAAAAGCATCGGGACAGGTAAAAATAGAAGATGCTCAGGAACCCCCCGCCCACCCCCCACCCCCGCATTTGTCCTGAAGCCACTTGCCTTGCTTTGGCTATGTGCTTTGGGTCATTGTCATGGTGAAAGGTGAATCTTTACACCAACTTGAGCTCCTGAGCACTCTTGAGGATGTTTTCTTTCATGCTGACAAACCTCTCAGTTCCTCTCTGTTATTGATTGATTAATTTAAATTTAATTAGATTTAGTAAGCAGCCTTAGGAAAATGGAAATAAAAACATTAAAAAATACTGACAATGTTTGTCTTAGCAGAGCTGTCTAGTCAATACTTTTTATTTATATATAATTTGTAAAGAGTTAAAGTTTATGATTTTTATGGAAAATTATGGTTTGTGAGCAACCTATGCTACATAAACCTCTTAATTTATGTCATTTAATGTAAATGAATCCCATTTGTTTCCCAAAACATAATACTGGCATCTAGTGGTCAGCTCTGAAATTGCAGGTTTTTTTTTTAAACTACATTAATTTGAACAATTCAAATTAAACAATTTAGACAGTGTAATTTAAACAAATTTTAACTGTATATTACACTTCTGCCATATTAAATTGAGTTTATTAAGTGTTTCTAATGAAGTCAATTTTTCTTCAGCCTCATAGTAGAGTGAATACTTGCCCATATAGCTTATTGGTAGTTATAGTTCCTCTCAGAGCAATAGTTAATTTGTTTGTTTCCTATAGCCCCCAATCCTAGGGCAAAACTCTAAATAGGATTAAGGGAATGACAGAAATAAGGCAACAGTCAATGAACTCATGAGAGAAATTTGAACTGCATAAGATGAGCAACAAAGAAAGAGGCAAACAAACACAAATTCATAAACAGCAATGCAGTTTAATAATGTTTTTTACTTTCTCATTTTTTGTGACACATATGACAAGTGACTAAAATGTCACATTATGTCAAAGGGCACATCACCAGGTCATCCCTGATGTAAATATATCAAATCTACAGGACAGAGTTGGATTATAAATTGGCCAAATTTATTCCCTTTAGTGGGCCAGCTCCATAACCCACTTCCTGCCAGCTGACCTCCACAAATGAACACCTAACACAGCCTGTCTTGTGATGACCTCTGACCCCTGACTCACAGTATGTAGCTCCTACAGTAAAAATGACCAAAAGAACAGGTTTAAATAGAGTAATTGCATCATGCTAGCAACCACTGATCAGAAGAATCCCCTTCCTCTCCTGTAGTCTCACCACATGGAGTATGGACACTGAGGATTTTCATATAATTGCCTGTGCAGAAGTGCCTGAATCTGGGATCCTAGCTCAAAAATCATACACACACTGCATAATGTACTTCATAAACATGTTTCAATATTTCTGTTACTGAATAAACTTCCTTTATCTGACTGGCCAGAACTAGTAGTATGCACAGAAAATATGCTAAACAGATATCTGAATTATGTGTTTGACTTCTCAAGTTTAATAAATAAGTAGAGAGTTTTTACAAGGCAAATGAAGAGAACTGCACAACAATTCCTATAAATGACACATCAGTGTCAACAAATTGAAAATATTTTTCTAGTTATTAAATATTTGTAAAAGCCTAGGAAATTAAATAAAATATTGACATATCAAATATTCAACTATTCAAAATACCATTTGCACTGAAATTTCAAGTCTCCTTCACATTATGTTTATAGGAGAAAAACTAAAGGATAAAAAGCTTGAATGGTATGAGATCAGTCAGTTATCCAAAACAGAGCACCTAAATCCCAGTTATCCTTAAGGGTAATGACTTATATGCAATGAAAAAAAAGAGAAACTGCTTTGCAGTTCAGTGAATTTGGCAAAACAAATCAGATAGCTGAGCCAGGCTGACAAAAAGACAGGATCAACAAATGAGATGTACTGGACATATATGCATATACATACACATAAGTACATACATTATACATGGTACATCTTTGTTGATCCATGTCAATATAAAACATTTAAATAAGTAGTTGTATTTTGAATATGCCCATGTTAAAAATATACTATTAGAACTAGAAAATGTATATTACCTGGCAAGTTAAATCATTTTTTAAATTATTTTCTTTATTCTGTTTGAATTATTGAATATTTGTATTAGGAGTAATTGCATTGGGAGTAAGTCAGTTTCAATTATAGATCATATATGAATAACATAATTTTTCAAGTACACATTGTTATTGTTTTTATTTAAATTAATTAATATTAAAGTTGTTGAATACATATGGAAGAATGAAAACTTAATTTTTTTGACCAGTTTAGTACAAACAGATATTGACTAGGTATTTGTGCAAAGGAGCTTTGTCACGTCATTACTGTTATTTTTTATAAATGAATCAATACAGATACTCATAGTGTCAATGATGAAGTACAAAATGCCACAGGATACCGCTCAGTTTATATGAAAATGGTTGTGGCTGCAAAATTAACAAGTATTTTGGTCTGAAGAGCGCATCATTGCAGTGAGCTCTGATTTCAACCCCATACAGCTTCTGAGGAATGAACTGAAAAGTAGCATTAAGGCAAGGCCAGGGCAGCTATGTTGAGTTGTGGAGCTTACTAATGTCTTAAATGTAAAGCAGCACACCATCCATTTCTATCAAACATGAGCAGGATTTTGCACAATTTAATGGCTTGGTGACTAGATGTTATTGCTGACATAGATAATTGCTTAGATTTTTTTTAAAGTGATCTTATGAAAGGGAAAGAAAAATATTTTGCAGTGATCAAATTGATTTTAGCAACATGTATCATTACATGTTTTTTGTATGCAATAATGTAAACAAATTTGTATTTAAATAATACAGACTTAAAATAGTACCTTTTTAATTAGTATAAAAATAGTTACAGCAGCCAGAGCTACAGAGACCCAGATGGTAAACAGCATCCAAGAACACTATCTAACCATTCCAAAATCAAAATGCACAAGGTCCGCTGCATTATTTTCATGTAAACTACTCCGGTTGCTAAATATCTTATTCTTAATACTTTAAATACAACCACTTCCTATTACACCCATTAACTAAGGAACAAAACAAATACGCTGGCCAAGACAATGTATGACTAGCAAATAGTCACCCTTCAAGAGTATTAAACGGCATGAAAAAAAAAATCACAGCAGGGAGCAAAGTGCCTCCATTTTTTTTTTCATTTATTCTACAGTATGCAAAGATTCACACACCAAATGTTCAAAACCCTAACATCTCGTAAACAATTGTCTGCTTGTCGGCCAGCGTCTGCTACACTGCACTTGTGATAACAGAACTATGGCCATTTGCTGTTTGAGTTATTGTCAAAGTGTTCTGACAATGTTGTGGTGGCCTCACCACAGTAAATACCTAATAAATTATCTTGTGTAACTGGATCACAGTGATATCAAACCCAAGCGACATCTGGGGCTTTGACTGTAGAATGCACAGTATGAGGGTTTGAAAGGTTTGGGGAGCTGGGGAAATCTGAATCTGTCTTTGTACAACCAATCAAGAAAAGCTAAATTAAAACACTCCCAAAGAATGTTTTATATTCTTTTTCTCTATATGTCTGTGCACACATATGCATGAGCATATATGTATAAACTCATATTTTTGTTTCATTGCTAATTGAGAACTTCATAAGCAGCCATCCTTTCCTCGCCATGAAAGCAGTAGTGCAACAAACTTTTATAAAATTATTTTTATAGGGAGTTAATCAAGTACACAAGCTTGTAAGCTTCCTTTTACAGGAACTCATCTAATGCTCAAAGACTACATTTTAATCCCTACATTAGAAAAGTGGCTTCTGTTTTCAGAAAAATGATGACAGAATACAGCAGGTCACCGTCTTCACAGTTGTGTAGCTGACAGCTAGCATGACTCTTGACCATTGACAGCTGTTAACTGTGGGAGAACAAAAAGTCAAAGGCATCTAATCTGGATGGTCCAGACTGAGCTACATTCCATTCCAAAAGAAAGAAGAAAAAAAATAGTAAATTGCAAAAATTTTGGCTTTTGTTGACATGTCCATTTAAGGCTAAATGCTACTCTTTACTTTTTCTTCTTGAATAAACTTTTGATCTTTGAGGAGGATCTCTTCAGCTTGTCACCATTCTCAGAGGAGTCCTGGGAGGGCTGTCTCTGCAGTTTGTCATCCCTCGACACCTTCAGCTCAGTGTCCAGTGATGCGGCAGACATGAAACGTTCACCCGGGGCTGGTGGAGCACTGGGAAGCTGGCCAAGGCTGTAAGACTTCTCCAGGATGCCATTATAAACTACTTTGCCAAGAGGGCATAAGGGTGCACCTGGGGGCTCCGTGATCCGAGTAAGGTCAGGAGAGCCTTTGAGGGGACGATCAGGCATGGTGGACAAGTCCAGCTCCAAGGACAGGTGTTCCTCCCGGGAAATCCTACGCATGGGAGTGTCCTGGCCACCCGAAGAGGAAGGGTGGAATGGCCTCCACCCTGTAGTGGAACTGATGGAGTTACAGTCTGAGTGTGTATCGGGGGTATCCCTGGAGAGAAGGAAAAAAAGAGACATTGGGCCATGCTTAAAGCATAAAGAACAAGAAAAAAAAAAAAGAACAAATGCGTGGCTTAAGTTAACTGGTTAACTGGTAAATCAACTCTCACTGAATGTGAGAATGGTGAGATGCAAACCTGCGTACCTACGGAAGGATACTGGAAAAATACTAGCTTTACTGAGCAGACACATGGCCCTATGCTCCATAAAAATGAAAAATTAAATAGAGTGAACAAGTGCCAACCTTACCCCTTCTTATCTGTTGTGAAGACGATCTGTTCCTCCGCTTCCTCGGAGTGGTGGGAGAGGGGGATGCTGGCCATGGAAAGAAGGTCGGGGTCAGGGGAGGGAAGACCAGGAGGGGGGGATCCCAGAAAGCTCCGGCGAGAGCGACACAGACTGCTGTTGCGAGTCAGTGGAGGCCTCATCAGAGGGTCTGTCAGGGTGAGGGGCACAATCGGTGATTAGATAATTGCAAAAATCAGCTCTGTTAAACAGCTATGAAGGCTTTATAAACCCTATAAACTTTATAAACCACTGGTGCTACGTTCTAAGACTTACTGTGAATAGCCAAAACCGCAGTTCATCTGCGGACCCCATATATACCATGATTTTCGTGTACTAACATATGGTAAAGTTTAATTGACAAATTACACACAGTAAGACATTAGCAACATTAAATACAGTAATAATACATTTAACTTTAATACCTACATTTTACGTTATCATACAGTATTGTATTCTCGGATGAAAGGGATTCTGACATTTAAACCTCATTCTCATAAGATGATAAAGCAAAGAAAAAATGTCATGTATCAAGGGATGACTGGCCAATGAAAATCATGCTTTTTATACCCCTGAAAGGATGAAGGAACAATGAAAAAACATACCATTACACATTTTACGATTTGTTTTTGGACCGTGGCAAACTGAAACTGAGTATACGCGGGGATACTGTATGCACATGAGGAAACTGTATGCACATTATATACCAGTTACAAGTTTTTCCTGCAGTCAAAAGACATGCACTTCAGTTAATGTCCACAGTGTATGTGCCCTTTGAGAAAATGGCATCCTGTCCCACCCTCTGTTGCCTGGCCCCACTGTAACCCTGACCAGAATAAGCAGTTGCAAGCTGCATGGATGGATTAAAGGTTTTTTGCTCAATATACATACTGTTAAACTGTGGAATGATTGGTGGTGTGTCTTCATCAAGGTCATCCACACCACCAGCAATGGGGTAGGGGGGCACAGAGACCCTGGGCATCACCACCCAACTGTGATCGGAGTAAAGGGCCGCTGTTAGGTTGGACAGGCCAGAGTTGTGCACGACAGGGAAACCACACAACTTCTCGATCTGTTGCCATCGGTGGAGCCGCTCCCTCAGGCATGCCGTGACTTCTGACAGAGCCTTTCTGTAAATATAAATGAGCATGTGCACATAGGGCACGCACAGAAAAGCCAACAACAAATGTTAAAGGCCAAGCTAGCAAAGAAATCTGCTCTATCTGTATTCTCAATCCTACCATACTCAGAACTGGTCCTACTTTTCAAAATAATCTATTTCCTGCTATGAGACACCATAAGCCTAGTGTTTTGCACAGTGGGTTGAGATGCATGGTTATCTTACTTTGCCTCCAGGATCTTGTGGTCCACATCATCCAGGGAGGAGTTGTGGGCAACATGAAGGGTCCCAAATACCGAGCCTCTCTTCTTCTTGAGTTTCTCTGCCTGAAACATTTAGCTGGAGTATACTAAGTTTGCGAACATAGAGGGGATTGAATTAAGCTATATGATTAGAAGATAAACCCATTTTCCACAAACCAAACTAAAGAAATATTGTCAGATAAGCCGGGGATGTACTGATTTTGACCACCAGATTGCACATTCATGTACATAAGAATGATGACATTCTTGTAACTGTTTTTGTCCTATTTACATCTTATTTTTCTTAACTGCTTTCATTTTTTTTTATCATTTACGCAGCTCAATATTTCACCAAGTTCAGGTAAACTAACTTTGGTCATGGGTATTAGAACAAGCTTTCTCCTAGGACCTCTCATGTAGAATGGAGCAACAGTACAACAACATGGACAGCAACACCGAAACAGATGTTCCTATTAGTGTTACAGTATATGAGATATGTACTTAAGAGACTAATGTCATTTAAAAATAAATGACTGTAGGGCTGCAACTAACAACTGTTTTTCTATCAATTCATCTATCAATTATTTTACTGACTGGTCGACTAAACGATTAATTTTCCTCCAGAAAATCAAATTGTTTCATTTAAGTTAATTTTATGTTGACAACAACAAACAGTATCATCGCACTGGCTTTTTGGCACTATATGAACCTTTATGAACAGCCACAATTTGATAAGCATATTATTAGTACACCTAAAATATTAATGAGAGGCATACTGTGATGCCCATAAGTTAGAGTATCCTTATGTTTATTAACTTCAATTAGCAGAGTATGCCACATGTGACTGTTTTGGTAAATCATGGAAGTGATAAGTACTAAAGTCGTGGTGAACAGAGAGACAGCACAGCAACAATAACATCTTTTAAACAACGACATATGGTAGATAAACGGTAAAAAAAAATTAGTGGATGGCGGTACTTTGTACAGTCTAAAGTCTGACGTTTTCTTGGTAAATATAGTTTTCATTTTTATTTAATTTCACGAATTATTCATTTTTGCGGTGTTGAAGGAAAACATTTGTCACAATTAACTGAAGCGTTTTAAAAATCAAAAACGGTAATTTCATTAAAACAATTTTTTAAAAATGATGCATCGATTTAAAATACTGAAGTTGACGCATTTTCAGCATTGACGTCATCGGCTACGTCGATTAATCGTGGCAACCCTAAATGATTGATCTTTGGGAGGGGGTGAATGGATTTTACCACAATGGGGTAAAATGAATTTAGTCTAATTTAACCTCAAAATTGCCCTCCTTAATCCTCCACCTCAATGACTGCTTTGCTTTATTCTGTGTATCTCCTAGAAATCAGGCATGACAGGCTAAAACATTTTCTCACTTTCTAATTAAAAAAAAATATATACAAAACAGCCCCAGAAAAAATGCACTGTGAAATTTCTTAGTAAAACAGTAAACTTGTTTGACAGTTGTACTATGTACTTTCATAGTTTGATCATGAATTGTTTTACAATTGGACCCTGAATTTTTAGTGAATTGGCACACTTTTCATACTTCCATTGTGAAATCTACATTCAAACTAATATCAGAACTATGAATAATTAATGTTTAACTGTAAACTTAACAGTTGTACTTTTTCCTAGGGCTGCCTGACTCATGCAGAAATAGAAGCTCTTTTGCATTTTTCTGCAACAACATGGATCATATACACTCACCTAAAGGATTATTAGGAACACCATACTAATACGGTGTTTGACCCCCTTTCGCCTTCAGAACTGCCTTAATTCTACGTGGCATTGATTCAACAAGGTGCTGAAAGCATTCTTTAGAAATGTTGGCCCATATTGATAGGATAGCATCTTGCAGTTGATGGAGATTTGTGGGATGCACATCCAGGGCACGAAGCTCCCGTTCCACCACATCCCAAAGATGCTCTATTGGGTTGAGATCTGGTGACTGTGGGGGCCATTGTAGTACAGTGAACTTATTGTCATGTTCAAGAAACCAATTTGAAATGATTCGAGCTTTGTGACATGGTGCATTATCCTGCTGGAAGTAGCCATCAGAGGATGGGTACATGGTGGTCATAAAGGGATGGACATGGTCAGAAACAATGCTCAGGTAGGCCGTAAATGATGCCCAATTGGCACTAAGGGGCCTAAAGTGTGCCAAGAAAACATCCCCCACACCATTACACCACCACCACCAGCCTGCACGGTGGTAACAAGGCATGATGGATCCATGTTCTCATTCTGTTTACGCCAAATTCTGACTCTACCATTTGAATGTCTCAACAGAAATCGAGACTCATCAGACCAGGCAACATTTTTCCAGTCTTCAACTGTCCAATTTTGGTGAGCTCGTGCAAATTGTAGCCTCTTTTTCCGATTTGTAGTGGAGATGAGTGGTACCCGGTGGGGTCTTCTGCTGTTGTAGCCCATCCGCCTCAAGGTTGTGCGTGTTGTGGCTTCACAAATGCTTTGCTGCATACCTCGGTTGTAACGAGTGGTTATTTCAGTCAAAGTTGCTCTTCTATCAGCTTGAATCAGTCGGCCCATTCTCCTCTGACCTCTAGCATCAAAAAGGCATTTTCGCCCACAGGACTGCCGCATACTGGATGTTTTTCCCTTTGCACACCATTCTTTGTAAACCCTAGAAATGGTTGTGCGTGAAAATCCCAGTAACTGAGCAGATTGAAATACTCAGACCGGCCCGCCTGGCACCAACAACCATGCCACGCTCAAAATTGCTTAAATCACCTTTCTTTCCCATTCTGACATTCGGTTTGGAGTTCAGGAGATTGTCTTGACCAGGACCACAACCCTAAATGCATTGAAGCAACTGCCATGTGATTGGTTGATTAGATAATTGCATTAATGAGAAATTGAACAGGTGTTCCTAATAATCCTTTAGGTGAGTGTATGTCTTACTTTGTCCATTACAGCAACTGTAGCTGAGCCTCATCTGAATTTCAGTATAAACCTTTAGTTGAAAAACATTGGAGCAGGATATGATAATGGCTAGCTGTCCTCACCTCATCCTTGGCCACCGTCAACTGCAGCTCTGCACTCTGCTTCTTGATGTTGTAGTACTGCACCTCCACCTCATGTGTAAGCTGCAGCCACATCTGGAGGGCTTCAGCAACTGACCACTCTGCCTGCAGCTCTTTCTCCGCCCGCTTCAGGGCCATGCGCACCTGTCCAGGGTAGGAATGTATCACAACTGAAGATGAAGCCAGAAGCTCTGCAAGGAGGCACAGTCCAAAATGCATTTAAATATATTTCCACCAGTTAACAAATTTAAATCAAATTCATCAATCTACACTAATTACTCCATAATGAATTTTTTGCATGTTTATTAAAAATAAAAAAATGAAACATTACACTGACATTTACTCAGTATTTAGTTGAAGATTCTTTGTTATCAATTACAGTCTCAAGGTATGCATATGAAGTGACAAGTTTTGAACACATGGATTTGGGTATTTTATGCCATTTTTCTCTGAAGATTCTCTCTGCAGATTTTCAATAAATTTGCAAAATATTCTCATTTCATCTTTTTATTTTGTCATTAAGAGGTATTGAGTGTGCATTGATGAGGGAAAAATTTATTTAAATGATTTGAGCAGAAGACTACAGCACAGCAAAATGTGAGAAACGTGAGGGGGGTCGAGTAATTTCTAAATGTACTGTGTGTGCAGCATTTAAGATAGCTATAAAGATTTTTAATAAATAATGGTTAGCTAGTTACATTTACTACAGCCTTTATGTTAATCCAAATAAAAAAAATGTATTACCCATGGGGAAATTGTGATTAACACTACACAGTAAACAACCACACAAAAAGGCAAAATGACAATACATTGTACCACATAGAATAAGTTCTGCATTAAGTAAATAAGTACAATATGTAACAATGGTGAATATGACGATATCTACAGAAATTTGCAAACAAAAGATAAATAAATAGATTACTAAGGTATTGTTGCATATGCCCTGGGGGATTGACCGGGTCTACAGCTGATTACAGGTGCATGGTGAAGTGTTTTTTGTTGAACGAAACAGTTCAGGAAAAAAAAGGATTCCGTCATACACACTGGGCACCATGTGGTGTGAAACAGTGGCAAGGGTGTGGCATGACACAGTAGCAGTGGTGTGGTGTGACAGTGAAAGTGGTGTGGTGTGGTGTGGTGTGACACATAGCTCTTTCACACCAGGGCTGGCGCCCGTGCAGAGCCTAGTCATTGCATTCACACCAATACATCCGGTATATCTGGGCTGGAGCTCATTTTTCTAGCCCGAAAAGGTTGCTAGGCCAGAGTTCGGTGCACATGATGTCAGAAGGCGGGATTACAGTCATCAGAATGGAAAGCAAAAATTTATGAAGCAATGCAGAGTGAACTGGAGAAGGCAGGAGTTAACAGAATAACTGAAAAATGGAAAAAAAAAATACGGGAAGTCGAAAAGAGAGCTATATTAAAGGGGTGCTGGCAGCCCTAAAAATAAATATCATGGATTCCGTGTTGAGAAACAGACCTGCTAACCAGGTGACTGGAGTATTGAATGCCGCAACCGCTTTGGAGGAATTGGGTAAGTCATTATTGTTGTATTTACTTGTAATGTTACTATGAACTTTAATTACATTTGGTGTATGTCAGATGTCTTCCAAGGATCCATCAAACAAAACTGCATAACACTGAATGCTCCATTGTGTTGTGTGTTGAACATGTGTTGTGACTAGGGCTGGGCTAGCTACATATCATTGTAACGTCAACTTAGTTAACTGATAAGTTACCTTTAGAATCTGACTTTGATGTACCAGCCAGTGATACAAAATGTACAGCTGTCTGCTTTGTTACAGAAAAGAAAATAACAGACTAACACTATTTGCTTGAAATGCTAGTAATTTAAGTGAAATGTAGCTATCATGTCTTTCATGTGCTTGTTTTAACACAGGTGAAGTGAATGCACATGGACAGGACAGGACATGCTCATGGGAGACTTACATATTTCTTGATTATTTTCTATTTGTAAGACAAAGGTTTACCAAAATGTTTCATTCTTTTCACTCTCCCTATCAAAGCAGTCCATTAATGCATATTGCGCAGTAGTTCCTTTAGCATCTCGTACTTATGTGCATTTGCGCTAATTTGTCAAGAAATTACTATGCACTTTATCCTTTATATGCTAATTCGTACTTCATTTGTGGTATCCCCATGTATTAGCATGCATGAATCGCAGTTCATTCATGAATGCATCTCTCATTGCGACCCGCTTTTTAACTGGAGCACACAAACGGTAGTTCGTCTTGGATCACTGAAGTGCAGGAATAAGTCGTTGGCAGATGGACTCAGATGAGTCATGGGACACTTAGAAATTTTGAATGAACTGTTTCGGATTAAGCCATGGAACAATAACCTATAAAGCTAAAAATAATCTAAACATTTGCAGCTAATTCAAAGAAGTCTTGCGTTCATCGCATGATCCTCTATTTTTGTCTTCACTTCTGAAGCGGTACCCCTTCCACAACAACTCACACACACTGACGTCATCGTTCTACTCTTTCGACATTAAGTGCAGTATGAATGCGAGACAGTTCTTGATGAGGCCGATGTAAGCTCCAACTCAGCTCCGACCGAGCACTGCCACCAGCACCGGCTCTGGCGAGGGCTTGGTGTGAAAGGCGTAACAGTGGCAGGGTTGTGGTGTGATACAGTGGGCACCATGTGTTGTGATACAATAGCAGCAGTGTGATGTGAAACAGCGGCAATGGTGTGGTGTGCAACAGTGACAGTGGTGGGGTGTGACACAGTGGCAGCGTTGTGGTGTGACACAGTGGTAGAAGTGTGGTGCGATACAGTGGCAATGATGTGGTTTGACATAGTGGCAATGGTGTGGTGTGAGTGGCAATGATGTGGTGTGACACAATGGCAGCGGTGTGGTGTGAAACAGTGACAGTGGTGTACTGTGGCACAGTGAGAGCAGTGTAGTGTGTACCAGTGACAGCGGTGTGGTGTGAAACAGCAACAGCACTGTAATGTGACACAATGGCAGTGGTGGGATGTGCAATATTTACTTGCACCTTTGACGGAGAGGACGCTGGCGTTGAATGTTCGCCGCTTCTCCCTCTGAGTCTCTGAGTCTAATATTCTGAGTCTAATATTACTGATATTACTAATTTTACTTTTAGTTTTAGTTAGAAAGTTTCATACTTTTTTTGAAAGTTTTTCTTGTACTGTTTTACCATCTGCCTTGGATTTTTACGGATTTTATCAAGTTTTATCAAGCCTTTGCTGTCTACTCACCTGTTGCCCATATACAGTATACTGTTTTGCCGTCTGCTTCGGATTTTACGGATTTTAGGTCAGTATGGCGTTCAGCTATTCCAGCTCACAACTCCGCCGGCTTAATCTCGCAACCACTCCTGGAATTAACATCCCTATCATTAAAGAACTTCGACTCCTTTGTCGTCCTCGTTATACTCATAGAGGCTCCGGTCGAAAGTTCATCTTCCATAACCAGCCAAAGTGTCCTGCTACCAACATTCCATCTTTCTGGTCACCTGTCGCACGTCTGACGCGTCATCAGAGCATCGTCACTCCAACGACTATCAACACAGGAAGTATCGCGAGATCTCTGCGCTCCAGCATGAGAAACACCCGAGCCATTGAGAGAAATTCCCGGCTAGATTTATTTTGTGGAGTGGACTCTAAGCTGCGTGGAGTGGATTTTAATGTTCTGTGACCTTTGCAGAGATTTACTCCACTGTCACTGATCAAATTTGAACTGTTTAACTCCCAATCCATCAGCAATAAATCCACACTGATTGAAGAGCACATCAGGGAAGAAGGACTTGACTTCATGTGTTTGACAGAAACCTGGCACCAGTCAGAGGTTTACTCTGCCCTAAATGAAGCCTGTCTACCTGGCTACAGTTACCTGGAGGCAGCTCACAGAACTGGGCATGGTGGTGGCCTAGCTATCATCCACCGTCAGAACCTGGGGTTGTCCCCTATCTTGATATCTGCAACATCTTCCTGCGAGTGCCTTGCATTTAAATGTAAGCCCCCTTTTCCCATGACTGTTCTCCTTATCTACCGACCTCCAAAACCCAACTCTGCCTTCATCCCGGAAATGTCTGATCTTCTCTCAACACTTTGTGCTACCTCTGCTAACATCGTAATCCTAGGAGATATAAATATTCATGTTGACAATCCCACAGGTTATCTCACTGCTGATTTCCTTGAGCTTGAGATTCCCTCAACCTACAACAACATGTTGATGTCCCCACACATTCCAGGGGTCACACACTTGACTTGGTCATTTCAAACTCTGCCCCCATCAGCAACCTAGAGGTATATGATCTTGGTATTTCAGATCATTAGTGTCGATGGAGCGGCCCTTTCTCTCCCCCTGTACCAAACCAAAATGACCAATCCATTTCAGAAATCTAAAGAACATCAATGCGGATGACCTGGCCCTGGACCTTAAACTTCTCTCCTCTGACCCTACCAGCTTCCTCTCTGTTGCTGACCTCGTGGATTTCTATAACCAGTCTCTGAGCAGTCTTCTGGACTTCCATGCCCCCTTAACATCCAGGTCTGTCTCATTCTCGTGCTCAGCACCTTGGTACACCTGCGAGCTGCGAAAAATGAAGGCGGCTGGGCATGTCCTTGAGAGGCGGCTCAAGGCTTCTGGGCTGACTGTCCACAAACAGGCTTACAGGGAACACAAGAGGGTATATGCAGAAGCTCTGAAGGTTGCACGGTCCAGGTTCTATTCCAACATCATCAACATCATCAGGAAAATGAAACCGTCAACCAGTTCCCTGGACCCTTTCCCCCCAGCCCTGTTGAAGGCTAACATCTCTGCTGTCTCTCCACTCATAACCAGGATCATAAACCACTCCCTCCTGGCTGGCCATATACCTTCTGCATTAAAAACTGCTGTCATCAGACCTCTACCGAAAAAACCCACCCTGGATCTTGAAGTTCTCTCTAACTATAGGCACATCTCCAATCTTCCATTACTCTCTAAAGTTTTGGAAAAAACTGTTGCAGCACAACTTCATGATCACCTCAAACTAAATAACCTGAGTTTCAGTCTGGTTTTAGCCCTGGCCAAAGCACTGAAACAGGGTCACCAATGACCTTCTGATGACAGCAGATACTGGTTCCCCTTGTCTACTCATCCTCCTTGACCTGACAGCTGCTTTTGACACAATAGACCACAACATCCTCCTTCACTGCCTGAAATACACCATTGGACTCTCAGGAAATGTTCACAACTGGTTCACATCATACCTGACCAGCAGAACTGAGCATGTCGCCCTGGGCAGTGTAAAATCTCACACCCACAACGTCACCTGTGGTGTCCCACGGGGCTCTGTGCTAGGCCCCATCCTTTTCACCATCTACATGCTCCCTCTTGGAAATGTCATTAGCAGACATGGTTTAACTTTTCATTGCTATGCCGATGACATTCAGCTTTACCTCAGGACTACCCCCACCTCCTCTACTGCTCTTCTGCCAACATCCACACTGACTACCTGCCTGGAGGAGATAGAGCCGTGGATGAGGCTCAACTTCCTTAAGCTGAACAGATCGAAAACAGAAGCCGTCTTAGTTGGCACACCACACCATCTCCGCTCTTCTACCATCACCAGTATCACTTTCTCTGGCCAAAACATCCCCCTTTCCACATCTGTCACCAATTTGGGTGTTAAAATGGACCCTCAACTCACCTTTGACACCCACATTAAACACTTCTGTAAGTCATCATTCTACCACCTCAAGAACATCGCCAAACTCCGCCCAACACTCAGCCTGGCAGATGCAGAGAAGTTCGTCCATGCCTTTGTCTCCTCCAGGCTGGATTACTGTAATGCACTCCTCATTGGGATTCCTGGCAAGAATATCCAGAGACTACACAGTATATTCAGAACAGTGCTGCCAGGATCCTAATGAGAGTGCGAAAGCATGACCACATCACCCCCATCCTGAAAACCCTTCACTGGCTCCCTGTCCCACTCAGGATAGAGTACAAGGTCTCTCTCCTCACCCATCAGTGCATCTATGGACATGCTCCCCTTTACTTACGAGAACTCCTCACCCCCCATACCTCCTCACGCACCCTCCACTCTGTACACACTAACACCCTCCAAGTCCCCAGAACCAAGCTCCGCAGCATGGGTGATAGGGTTTTTTTCATCTGTGGCGCTGAGGCTGTGGAACACCCTCCCTGACTACCTGAGAGCCCCACAGTCGACTGATGTTTTTAAACAAAACCTAAAAACTCATCTTTTTAGAAAGACATTTTCTTAAAATATTTTATAGATTCTCCTGTTTTTTTTAAATTTTACTCTGTAGCATATAAAGTGCAATACAAATAAAATTTATTATTATTATTAATAGTGACAGTGATGTGACGTGATGCAGTAGCAGCAGTGTGATGTGCAACAGTGATGTGATATGGTGCGATATAGTGTGACACAATGGCAGTGGTGGGATGTGCAATAGTGACAGAGATGTGATGTGATGCAGTGGGATTGGTATGGTGTGATACAGTGGCAGTGGTGGTGTGTCACATTGGCAACAGTGTGGTGAGCAACAGTAATAGTGATGTGGTGTGATGCAATGATGATGGTGTGGTATGACACAGTGACAGCGGTGTGGAGTCATGCAGTGACATCAGTGTAGTGTGTAACAGTGACAGCAGTGTGGTATGTACCAGTGACAGTGGTGTGGTGTGACACAGTGACAGCAGCGTGGGTCTAGTGTGACACTGTGGCAGCAGTTTGTGTCAAAGAGTGACAGTGGTGAAGTGTGACACAGTGGCAGCATTGTAATGTGCAACAGTGACAGCGATGTGGTGTGACACCTGCACGAGCTCCTCCTCGGCGTACTTGAGACGACTGAGCTCATTCTCGGCCCCCTCTCGCAGCTCTCTTAGCCGGTGTGCTTCTCTTTTGGCCCCATTTATCTCATCCCTCATTTTCTGCTCCAGGTTCTGCTTCTCCACGGCAACAGTGCGCTTCTCTTCCTGGGCTTTTTCCAGGCTAAGTATACAGAGACTCGTTTCGTATTAAGGTCCCACAAACCATACACCCCGCAACTTGAAGAAACATTTTTCCTCCTCTCACCTGAGACTGCCTTCTTATTAAATAAATAATCGAATAAATTAACCAATTACTAACCAAACAAACAATAAATCTTACAGTGTCAAACTTGAATTTCAACATAATGAAGATAAACCATAATTCCCTGGCTGTATCTGTTAAATGTAATGCGGTAATTTCCTTTCTCTAGACAATTAGTCTTTACAACTACTGAGAACCTGCTATGTTTATTGCTTGGCAGCTTTTAGTTCTCAGTGTTTTAACAGGGTATATACAGAAATCCAGAGGTTAAATTTAACACTTTTTAATACCTTTTTTAATACTTTCTCAATATTTTTTAAAACCCAGCATGGCATTGAGTTGCAACCGTTTTAGACCAAGTTGCAAGCTGATTTAAAGATTTATAATGTTACGCAATTTTGGCCTGTAAAACAGAATTTAAATAGGGAAACATGGGTGAACAGAATAAATTTAGTGA